TCAGCTGTTAGGACAGGGTATGTGCCATGTGACATACTTAGCTCAAAGGCCAAGTGATAACGCTTGGAAATACAAAACAAAATTGTACTGCAGCTTGATAAAGCATATGGTATACTAGTGTATAATAGTGATTTTTTTTTAAAAAATAGCACTATACAACATCAGTAAAGTAGGCTTGAAAAGAATTAAGAACAGGTTAATTGAGAGACCTCAGAAAGCAGACATCAGTTGATAATTGCCATTAAATCAACACATTTCTAGAAGGGATTTTCAGGGAGTTGTATTAGACCCAATGCTATTTCACTTTTTCATCATCAGTTAGGACTAGATACAAAATCTTTTCTTAAAGATATCCATACAATGCAAAGACTGGGGAAAGAAATGATGATGGCAAAGCAATTGGAGTGAACTGGACTGCTTGGTAACTTCAACTCTTTCAAGCTTTATATGTTTTAATATAACAAATGCAAAGTTACACACTGTAAAATAATAATACTACCGTGAAAAGGAATGCAAGACATACTTACAAAATATCAAAATGTACCTGGAAGGCATTCCTTTTGGAATGGATTTGGGATAAAAGCAGAGCAGCAGATCATCAAAAGCTCCCAGTGTTGGCATGTGGCAGAAGGGATGTTATAACTGAACGAGGCAGCATGAGGAGAGAGAATGATGAAAGCATCTGGCACAGGTAAGTACTTTAGTGTTAGCTATGTCATACTGTAGTCAGTGTTTTAAAAATCTGTTTGAAAATGGGTAGAGTTAAAAGTTAAAAATATTTTTTTTTTTAGTGGCTGGAGAGAGCAGGTAGCTGAAAACTTCAATCAGTTTAGCTCCTTAAAGGTAATTGAGAAGTGACTTATTTTAGAGTGCAGAGTATCTTCCCAGAGGAAAAATAAACAGGAAGTAAAGTGGTCTTTCCCTTGGCAAAGACAGACATGGTAAGACCAAAGAGCTAGAAGCTGTAGCCAAGCAAATGCTGATTAGAAATTAAACACGCATGTGATGTGCCTAATGGTGGTGGTGCTTACATGTTGGTCTCAGTGGGGGAACAAAGTGAATTTTGCATTTATACTCAATTCAAGGATAAACTCTTTTCTGGAAAGCAAGACTGATGCTGCAGATCTCGATAAAAGGGGAACTGGGAGAAATACTGTGACCTGTATAACACAGGAGGTCAGACTAGATGATCTAACTGTCCCTTCTGGCCTTAAACTCCATTGGTCCATGAAGCGGTCACCTTTTCATTTCAATGGCTTTTTAGTCAGTTAACTTAGCTCTGTTAACAATGTTTTCTTGGTACCTATGTGACTCACCGATAATGCATACTTGAGAAAGCATCCATTATTTGCAAAGCCTGTCTTGGTTTTTTTTATTTGGGCAAAATGGGAAGCTGAGAACAGATGATTGATGGCTTTTTCTGTTTATTTGCTAAAAGATGTCAAGCAGCTTATTTACTGACTCAACTCCTGCAGCAACTTGTTAGTTTGAGCAGTGTAAACACATCTTAACAACCTTTAGTAATTGTGGGCAGAAAGACATCGTGAGCGTGATGAAAACTGACAGCACTGATTTCCATTCCTGTGATTTTTTTAACAGTACTTATAAAGACAAGTAAAGTATTTTCTTCAGGTGTTTTGGAGACCAAAACTTCCACTAACAGTTTGTTGGTACTCGTATTTCAAATGTACCACTTGCTTGGCAAAAAAAGTTAATATTGAACTCCTTTTCTCTTGAATGACTTTATAGCCCCTGTTTATACACCCATGTAAATGATGGTGCTATACCTTCGATAAACACATACTTGGTAGATTTTGGAAAGAGAAAGATCATTAGTTATGGAGAGAGAAGGCTCTCTGGTGTGCTAGCTTACAAAGACAAAAGGAAGCTACTTTAAATGAAGCCTAAACTTCAGAGAAATTCCATGTATTTATGTATTCCTCAAATAAGGAAATAACAACAAAATTAGTATGACTTTTCTGAGAAGACAGGAGGAGTCCAATTATCTGCTGCATTTTCTAAGCAGTAATCTGATAGAAAAATGATTTTTAAAATAGTATTGAAAACTATATGAAGCATCAAGAATAATTTATATATTTTCAGTGAGTAGTAGCATGGGGAATTTCATAGAAATGTGAGACTGGAAATCACTGAGCCCAATCTCGCCCACATTTTAATCATTTTTAAGCCATTCAGAAACTTGCCACACTCACCTACTAATCCTGATGAAAAAGTATTTCCAAACATAAGTCCTGTAATGAAAGGAATGTTTGCAATTTGTGGTCTAAGTAACTTACTCCTGACTGATTTACTTTGATGCCAGCGTTGACCCGACCATAAAGATCCTCCATTCCTGTTTTTCCTGCTTATTCTTTTAATGTCATTTTTGTTTTAAATCCATCACTTAAACACAGATGACCAGAACTATATGAAGTTTCCCCAGTGCCTTGTTCAATGGAATTAATACCTTCCTGAGACCCCGTTTCTCTTCCTCATGATCTCATCACAGTGGTGGTTCAGGATAATCTTACAGTTATCTAGTAAATCTGTGGTCTTTTTCCTGCTGTCGCGACAAATAATGATGCCTGTTTGATACCCATTCTTAGGCTATCTTGAACTTACTCCAGGCGTAGCATCAGTAAACTTATTTTCAAGTGTCACTGCTATAAGATGGGAAATACAATTCAATATAATTAATAGAATTACTTTCCACTAATTTGGAAAAGCACTTATAGGATATGATCTTTGAAAAGTTTGTGGGTTATTTAAAGTTCATTAGGAATGAATACAATTATGAATGCAATTATTTTGTTTGCCTTGTTAGTGCCAGGGTCTACAAAAAGCAGGCTGAATTTATGGTAAAATGAGTTGTTTATGCTGAAATCAGATATGCCAGTCATATTCCCTATTAATATCACTGGTTTCTTCCTGAGACTCATTAGTATAAGTGGATACTTCCTAGCTCTAGGAATAGTATTTGCTGTGTGTTCAGGGAGGGGAAGACACTGACCACCAGAGGAAATAACAGTGTCGATAAGGGATAAACATAGAAAGACCTACATCTAAATCCGGTAGTAGTCGTTATACTATAACCTAAATAGAAGGAGTGGGGCCAGTCCTTTTTATCCTCAGTTAACCTTATACATCAATATAGTTGTGCTTATGTTCATATAGGATGTTCTACAGTGTCCAATTTGCAAATTCAGTACGATATAGATAATCATGACCTTCACATAGTGAATGTAATTTTGTGTCCTGGTGTGTGTTTTGTGTTTAGTCTGTGTTCATACAGTAACTCTTTCTTCAATTAGATTGTAGGAAATCATATGATTTGAATATGTCTGGTTACGTGGTTTATTTTAATGAGCTTTGAAAATTTGTTTGTTTTGAAAATTAGTTGCTTTAGTAACTAATTTACCTGCTTTATTTTTTGCATGAAGGTAATGCATTTTCATAGTCAGCTTTCAGTATATGTTTACTGGAGGTTCCAATCCAATATTCCTTTAAAATTTGCATTAAAGGTGTATTTCTTCAAGCTACTGTGCATCAGTGTGTTAGTCTTGAAGAACTGGACAAGGTCACCTGCCTTTAAGTTATTTGAAAAGTTGTTTTGACTTGCTGGAAATGTTAATTGTTTAAAAATATTTAGTGTATGCAGTTTGATATTCTTGCTAACATCAAGATTATACAAGTTTTTAAATTAATCTCCTGAAGTTCTATGTCATGATGAATGCATCAAGTGGGCAAGAAGTATCAGCAGAATTTTCTGCATGTGATGTGTTTTCCTGTGATTCATGTGATCTACAAACATGCACAGAAAATGAGGAAACAGCGCTTTTGAGGTCCTCATTCACTTTGTATTATTAGCTGTAGAAGTCCTCTGCAAATTATTTGATCTGTGACTCAAACTTAATGTCAAAATACTTAATATATGATTATGTGGAACCATTTATGCACATTATTTCCATCCCACGGTTTAGGCTCTAGGACAAGAGCCTTGTTAAATGGACAAGTTCAGATAGCTATACTGAAGTCAGTCCAAGTGATAAAAATGAAGTAGTTAGACAAATATATGTAATTTACTCATTAAAATTTTGTTTGTAAAAAATTTCAATTGTTCTCTACTGTCTCTCATGACTACTCCTGGGATATAGTCCTATGGATTTTTATTAATTTAAAAATAAATTGCATTTAATTGCCCTGTGAGATTTTTAGTTACATTTATTTTACCTTTGCTGTTTGCTCTCCTTTGAAGTCCATTCTGTAGAATGAGTGATCCTCATTTCGTTTGTGCTTACTTGCTCTTATGTGGAGTTTTTAGTAGGTTTGTATCAATTTAGTTGTAACAACTTTATTTCGTGGTGCTATTTTTCACTATGTATTGAAAAGAACCATTAGATTCAATCTTATCATTGAAGAGCAGGGAAAGGGGTAGAGAAACTAGTTACTTGAACAATTGTTGTGTCTTGCAATCTTCTTCTTTTTAAATCTACCTAAAATTTAGGATCTTATTTAGATAAAACATGTTTGGAATTTTAACTACTGCAAAATGCAGGAATCTTGCTGATGTAGTGACAGTAATGACTCATCTCGTGAGAATGGCATTGTATTGAACGTACAATAACAGAAAAGGTCTCTAGTGTATGCTGTCTTTGTATATCCGACCTTGAAGAGAATTAGAAGTTGCTTGTTGCAGAAGTTGAGCATCTGATACATTGATGCACCTGTTAGTTCTCACATATTAAATTGGAAAATGTTTATAGTGATCAGTGATTCTTTTGTCAATTAAATATTTTCTATTTCTAGTGATCTGGACATTCAGCTGCATTTATGTGTATTACGTGATTGTCGTTAGCACGTGGAATTGTTTATACAGAAAATTATAACTTTGCACTGCTCCCGTTCCTTTCTCGCATCATGTTCTCTTACTATAGTTGAATGTATTTATTGTGTTTTATTTCTCACTGACACAATCTTGGTTTGTATGCTATATCATATAGAGACCATGAACCAAGCAACACCTGCTAGAAAACTGGAAGAGGTTCTTCACCTGGCAGAACTCTGTATCGAAGTGTTGCAGCAAAATGAAGAACATCATTCAGAGGTGAGGCCGTAACTGCGTTTGCCATAGAGAATGATTTGTTCCTGCGTTTTTTTCTCCCCTGATGCGAAGCAATTCTGTCAAGAAACATTTTAGCTTTATTTTCTGACATATGTTTAAGGCAGTTCACATTTACAGAGGAATAAGAGACTTGAAGCTTATGAAAACTGAAGTGAAATAAAACTCTACTTGAATTCGCTTGAATGAACTGTAGGTTTAGAAGTGAAAATTGAAGAGCATAAAATAGAGAAACAACCTCTGTGCTGGAGGTGGTGAAATGGTATGGAAAACATTCATAGCCTTATACAGCTGTTCCTTCCAGTTTTTCACCTCTCATTCAAAATAGGAAGAAAATAGTACGAAATGCTAGTTTCCATCATGCTATATGGATCTTGATTTCAGCATAAAGATAATGATAGATAAAGTAATCACATTTGTGTTGCTCTGCCTTTGATTGGAATAGTACTGCTTTTAAACTTGCAGGTTTTAAAATGTCATTATAAGATAGAAGAGAGAAGAGAAGGTGAAACATATTTCTTACTCTCAAGTCTTTTGCTTTGTGATACAGAAAACATAATATTTAGAATATTTAGAACTATAGTACCTTTTATAGCAAGGTATTAGAAAAATAATCTTGACCAGGTACGTATAATTATATATATTATTAACCTTTAATTTATAAATCTAGTTTTCTAAGGTTCCTGAAATTGCTTTAAAAATGTTCACCAAAAAATCAGTAAATACTTTTGAGGAAAATACGCAAAGGGATAAACATGATTTAGTGTATGTAGTTATAAATATGATCATTCAAAACATCTGGTTTTATATCACACTATGGAATCTAGTTTTTAGCTTACATCTGCCATGTGTGAACTTGTTATAGATATTTTATCTTATACTGAAGAAACAGCTGTTTCCATGATTTGAAATGAATTCCCTTGAGGTCCCATTCTACACTACTGTTGCCACTGTGTTACTCTGTAATGATTACTTAATAAAATGTATATATTGTTCTTCTTTGTCTTTTGAGAAACTGTATTAATATAAGAATATTAGGCTGCTTTGGTAAAAACACAGACAAAATGGTGATCAAATGATACTGTATATGATTAAACATCATGTGCATAGATTGCTTTCTGTACTACTTATTTGCAGTCAGAGATGTGATGTTTTTCAGAAGGGTGAATATATTTCGTATTTGTCTCAAGGAAAATCAGTTCAGTAAGAGTTTCCAATCTAAGAAATCCTGAAAAGACCAACTATAAATTTAAAATTATTTTCCCCTTCCTTGATTCAGGTCATAAATGTTCAATATTAATGAAATTTATAAAACATGCAGACTTTCGATATTAAAATGTATGTGAGAAAACAATCACAAAAATTATGCATTCTCCTATTCAAAACTGAAGATTAAGTGTGGTAACTTTACATCATAATTTTAAGTAAATGTTCAGTGGTTTGATGATGCAGTGGAAGAAAAGGATCAGTAGTCTCTAATGTAGTACCATCACATTTTTTAATACTAGTTTTTTCTTTTTTTAATGTATAACACTTCCAAATTTCTGGGATTCCCACAGGGAAGAGAGGTATGTTATTCATGATCAATTAAACATTATTTTTCACCATTTATAGCATGGAACTGTGCACTGAATGTGCAGCATAAATTGTTCTGATGATTTCTAGTTTTGTATCACCACATTTTTGTATCTTTCTATAATCTAAGAACGTTAGTCTTTCTTTAATCAGGTCAATGTTTTGGTTCTCTTAAAATGTATGTCACCAACTGCTAATTGCCTTTAGCCTGTTTTCGTATTATCCATAATGACTAAACAACAATCTTAGCTGTTGTATTTGTTTTTCCATTCTGCTGACTTGCTGGCCCCAGCAGTGGTGGGTAATTCTTGAGAGGGTCAACAGAATTTTTGTCTGGATTCAAAATGTAATTTGCAAAGGGGAAGAAGATAGAAAAAAGAATGTGCTAGTTTTCTCAGTTTTTTTGTTTTTACTTTGTTTATTTTGAGTTTTTGGTAATATTTTCTGAAAAGAGTTTTGTTTACCTAGAAGGGACACCTGCCGTTGCCTGTGTACATTTTTTTTCTTCTTTCTTTATTTCTTTGCAGTTAGTTATTTTCTAGGGTAAGACGGTTGTTCCTTCAATGAGATCCCATTTAAACAGGATTTACTAATGAGAAACTTCTTCCAAACTGAGGGAAAAGACTCCATTTCAAACACTTGCCAAAATTTTTGAAGCCTCCTCTATCCTTTTCACTGTGATGCCAATCAGCATCCTTAAGTCTTGACATTGCAATGCACCAAGTGCCTTTCAGTAATAGCAGAGGATGCTCAGCATTTCTTTAAAAGCTCTCTCCAATTCATCTTTTCTCCTTTTAAGCTGCAGTCGTTCACCCCATATCAAAAAGAATTACAGGCAGTCATCGGAAAGTCCAGGATGCAAGAACATGTTTTGGTCCCGTTTTCAAAAGCATTCTCGTATTTGACGCCTTTCAGGTCTGGGTGCATAATTCTACATACCTAGGACCTACTTTTCAGAAATGCAAGTGAAGATTTGAATGACTGTAGCTGAAGTTGTGGGAACTCAGCACGTGTTTAGATCAAGCTATATGTGTCTCGTGTTAGTAACTCAAAAATTGAGATATTCAAAAGTAGGGGGCTACTTTTGAAAGCAAAGGCATTTTCCTACCCAGGATATGTGAGTATTTCTCACCATCAGATATTTTCATTAACTCTAAACAAAACAGTCTCAGCAGTGTATGATATTCATCTTCTTTCATAGGCTCACTCCACCTTCATCTTTAACTCCAGGATCATATAGCGCTCTCTGATCCAATATTCTACTTCAACAGCTACCTTTCAAAGCCCAGATTTAAATCTCAGTAAGAAGGTACAAAAGGTAGATGTGAAGCTGCCTTTAACGTAGAGCTATCTTTAATTGCTAACATGCTGTTTTTGCACCAATTTCTTCTTTTGAGCGATGATTACCTAAGAAAGTAAGTTTTAATTGAAGAAAACTGTATATTCTAACATACTGTTAAGTTACTGGATATCAACATAGACGTTAGTGAACTTCTAAAGTTGTGTTTATAACATTGGCTGAAGGAAAACTGGATGCCCTCATCATGAGAAATCTACATCTTTAAGGCAAAATGAGGAATTAAAAACAAGTTCTGCATCATTTTAAAAAAACCCTAACAGTTCAAGGAGTAATATTTCACGTGAAAACCATCCCTTCTGATTAACAAATGGGAGCAAAATTCATATGCAGAAATGTATTTGAAAAGTAATTTAATCTGATTACTGATAGCATTAGAAAGGAATGAAATCAAAACAAGCATAGTGTTATTTTTCAAGGATGAGGCCTTCTTTTTTTTTTTCCTTGCTGTCTGGCAAAAAGAGCTGCAGTGCTTTATGTGCCTTTTAGAAAGGAGCTCTTAGGAAGTCTTTTGGTGAGGGAGGTTGTTTTGGTTTTTAGTTTCGTATTTTTGTTCCAATGATACCATCTTTGCCAATATAATTTTTTTGATTTCTTACATTTTTGATGCAAGGGTTTATAAAATGTTTGCACATGTTTCCCTTGGTCTCTTCATCCCCCTGAATGAGATAAGACATAAAGTGGCATATCCAAATGTATTTTGCTACAGATACAATATATCGCTTTGCTTTGTGACTTGTGTATATTAATGCTATTTTGGCATGTTTACAGGCATTCGCTTGGTGGCCAGAGTTATTGGCTGAGCATGCAGAGAAGTTTTTGTCTCTTTACTCTGTTGATATGGATTCAGCACTTGAGGCACAGCCACAGGACTCCTGGGACAGCTTCCCACTTTTCCAACTGCTGAATAACTCACTCAGAAGTGACAGTAAGATCTTAAGATTTTTGCTTAATGCGTGTATAGGATTTTTCAATTTCCTCACAACTTAGAAATGTGTTTTTAATGAATATAATCCCAAAGTAAAAGTGGCACTGCCCAAGTTTATGATAGATATATCGGTGCTCCATTTCTTGGAAATTAAGCAGTTTCTCTCTCTCTCCTTGCATCATTTAATTCCTTATTTCGAGCAGATCCCTTAACCATTCTCAGTTTGCTCACTTTTAAAGCAATGCATACAAGTAGCGTAGTATGTTTTTAATATTTCATGTTTAATCTATACTGCTGAAATAAAGTTGTGGTTATGATTTCCTTCTAAGCTTTCATTTAAACTACTTTTAGACCAGTTATTATGTTCCTAAAGGTATTGCAGGCTTAGTGTTAATGGGGTAAGAGATGCACAACAAAGCAGAATGTTTTTTTCACTTGGTGTATTATTTTATTATTTGTATTGGGATCAGAATTCAAGATACCTCTGTTATCTTGCTTATATTTTTCTTCAAAGAGCTATTTTTATTTTCTTTCTGTAATAGTTATATCTTAAAAATTTTTTATATGAAGGTGATTTTAATTATGGAATTAAGGACATTCTCAATGAAACCCAAAAAAATGGAATAGATATTGTTTTAAAAAAACATTAAGTTGCACCTTATTTTAAAGGCACATAATTTTTTCTAACACTTTAAGGCATCGTGAAGACAAAATTATATTTGTGTTATATTTTAGCTCTTTATTCATATTCTGTAAGTAAAAGAATGAGAAAATGACCTGCTATTTTTAATTATTTTGGAGAGACAAATGCTGTTTTTATTGCATGGTTCAGGTTATTCCAAGCTTTGATTTTTTCTTATAAAATTTGCCTGTGAACAACAGGTCATTTTTAACTCGTTCTGGAAAACACATTTAATTTCTGTGGAAATTCAGTGACTGCTAAGAATTTTATCTCCCTGTATGGAAACTGCATGACTGAAAGAACGGAAATAGTATTCAAGAGCTTTCTCCACGTTCACACATATTGCAACTTATATTATTCATCATTGTTATGATTGTTACCTTCAGCTGCCAAGTATTTATCGAAACGTATAGGTCATCTCAGTATAGTACCTATTAGACATAGCACCATATGATGAAAAGGAGCAACTAGCAAATTTACAATTCATTGCAACACCATACATGACTAACTTTTTGAAGGGAAAGGGGCAAATGGACAGGCCACTAATTAAAGTTTAATCGTGAACATGATTGTTGAGAGTCATTGTTTCTGCACCTCATTGGATGTTGTCTGGGGCAGAGCAAAAGAACGTTAGCACCCAGTGTTAGGGGTCTCTTTTCATGAATGTTTAATTGTGTTTCTATACCCTGACATTTAGCAGCACAGGAAATGCCAAGTTCCTTATCATTTCTTTTTTTCACATAGATTCTTAGTGACAGAAAATGTGTTTATTAGTCTTTCCCTTAGTTTAAGAAGTTATTAAAGATTGCTTATTCTGCATCCCTTGTTGGACAAACAGCAGCTACACAAGCATATTAAAATTGCCATGCTAGGGCTAATGTAAGCTCGATTTGGATAGCTTCTCAGAAGCGTGTAGGAATTGTTCCATCCTGAGGCCAGATCTCATAAGAGTTAGGTTCTGCATTACCTTAAATAGTTGTCTGATCTGGATTTGAAAATCTGGAGCCTATATTCAGGGCCTGGTGAGGATTAGGCAAGTATTTCAAAAAAAAAAAAAAAAAAGAAAGAAAAAGGATTACATTTCCCAAGATGAGGAGAGTCAAGAGTTAGCCCTTAGGAAATGCTAACCACAGCCAACTGTGTCTGGAGTGTGACTCTGTTCTCGTAAGAAGAGGAGCTTCGAGGAGGAATCTGTATCTGTTCCTCAGAGCTTCCCTGCTCCCTTCATTACAAAGCTGCAAATCCATGCCTCCTGCGCTGGCATTACAACTTTTGCAATGTTTGCTGCACCTTCACTGTTCAATATAGGATACTATAGGATTCAATCTGGAATGCCATTCTCCCTATAAGATACGCTACTTGAATAAAATGTGGTTTGGGATCCAAGACATCGTTCTAAGCAGTGGATTTAAATCCATCCAGGATGAGGAATGAATTAAAGCCAGTTCTGTTCCTTGGAAATTTCTGTAACCCTACTCTGCTGTAGGTGCTTGCTACCATTTCCTTTGCCTTCACCTGCATTTTGAAATTAAAAGAAGGATTGCTCTTTCTACGTGGCTAATCCTGACAGTGTACTGAGCCCTTCAGTCCTGACTAGTTTCTAGATAATTGGTGAGGTTCCAGCTGAAATTATATACGTAACAGTATATAATTACTAGATACTCATGGAATGCAAAGGTCAAAGAGGAGAGACCTAGAGAAGTTGACTGTTTCTCTGGTTAGTTCCCTGGGCCATTGACTCTGTGGGTTGTAGACTAGAATTCTGGATTTGAGCAACTAAGGTTTGCTCACTGTGGGAAGCTGCTGTACCCTCTGGGTCTGGCCCATTGTGCCTCGTCATCTTTGGTGAGTATGCTGAAGCCACCAGTGGAAATTGTACCTGCAAAGGCAAGCTGTGTGATACGTAGTCATCTCAATGTGTCTGGTGGCTGTCTTATCGTCTTGCATTTTCTGTTTACAAAACACAGATCTAAATCTGATGCAGTTAAAAAATTATTTAGTTTCTGAAAGCTATGAAGATATTTTGCAATAGTCTTCAAGAAGGATTTATGATATAAGTTTTAACTACTTTACTGTAACATTTGTGTTCCTTTCTCCATTGATTCCAACCTAACAGAGCTAATAGAAAGAAACGAGAGCCATCCTTAAATGCAGAGAGGTTACTGGTAGGCTGCAGATTATTTTCTCTTTCCTTAAAAGATTAAAGGGCTAATGATGCTAAATGATTAAATCAGCCTTAGGAAAGACATTTTATGAAAACTTGGGGAAATGTTTTTTCATGTCAAAGCAATTATTAGCAGGATTGTAAAACATTAACTGAAGGAAGAGAAATGATTGCTGTATGAAATGTCACACCTGTATACCAATTGCAGTAATTCCCCAATGGTAATAGATATAGTAAATGACAGTTTCTGGGGAGTAAAAGCCATCTGGAAAACTATACAGATTTCTCAGCCCCCTTCCAGAACTACTGGAAAGCAACCCTGGAAATTAGTCACCTTTTAATCAGTGGATGTGTTAGCAAGTGGCAAGTGACCATTCCAGCAAGAACTGATTCCCAGGTGAAACAGACCACAGTGCTTATTCTTTAATTAACAGTCTTTTCACATGGCAAGTGCATTAAAGCCATTACAAAGACCTAACCCATGCTTATATAATCAATTTTTCAGTCTTCCTAAGTGAAATAAATAATTCTGGCTTTACTCTTAAGTGAAAACCTTTTCCTGAAAACTATCACCTTCATAAAGATAGATTTAGAAAAAAATCTAAAAGGGAAAAACTGGAATGTGGTCTCATGAGGATAAAAAGGCTAGTGTTAATAATTAACAAGGAGAGTGAAGTGGAGTAAATTAGCCATAATAGAGCCCACAGTGACTGGCAAAGTCACCTCTCATTATCAAAAAACTCATTAGGAAATGAAGAGGTGGAAATCCCACTGGGTTATTCTCACTCTCCAGCTATATCAGAGATTACTTTTCAGATTTCTTTCAAATGAAGAACTGTTAGGTCACCATATTGCATATTAGGTTAATCTTCAGTGAAATTTGGAGGACTGACACCTGCGTGTTATTCTATCTCGAGAGCTTTAAATGAGCTCTAAATCTTAGATGCAGGAGTCAGTTTTCATGTAAACCTGACAGGAGTGAACTCCTAACAATAAAGAAACACTCTAGCATTTAGAGCATTATAGCAAACTTTCATGTAAGATTATTTTTACAAATGTGTCAATAAAATATAGTATTAGAAAGATAACGAGAATGCAGTCTTTTTCTACTGAAATAATATCAAATTTGTTTTATTTTACATAGAATACAAAGCATTGTACAAAATTCAAACAAAATACATCAAAGCCAATATCAATTTAACAATGAGGGAAAAAAGCATTGTATGATAGAGCGTGTAACTTTTCATGATGCAAAAGAGTTTTGATTTTTTATGTTTTTTGTTTTTTATTTTTTGGGGTTTTTTTGCCTGGCCTGGAACAAATAGGCAGCAGAAACATTTCTGGTCTAACTCTTGTTATGGGCATACACGGATCCATCTTAAGCAGTTTTCAGAAAAGTCTCGTCCAGTGAAGTAATAGATATGGCTAGAGAGAAAATCTGTAAATGGCAGTTCTCAAGTTCAAACCCCAAGACGTAATCTGTACTGTGTCTGCTCTGTTCAGTCTCCTCTGAGAGCAGTGAGAAGACAGTGATACTGCAGTCAGTTGTGCTGGTGATCAGGTCACCCAGGAATTATGCATCTCTCTCACTGAGTTTCCTGCTGCCCAGTTTGTGCTGCCGAAAAGGAAGGCATAGCATCCGACCTGCTATCTTAATTATTACTGCGAGCACCTTTTCTGTAGTTCTTGTTGTATAAAGCCTCCTGTCCATCGTATTTCAAATTCGGAGTGAAACTTCACTTTTCCTCCCAAAGGATTCTATTTTGAGTTACTTAAAACTTCATCATTTTTCTGCCCTTATTTCGTGAAATTTAGGAGGTTTGTTCTGAGTATATCAGTGATTCTTCTTCTGTTATTTTAAGTCTAAGCTGAAGCATATTTTAGAAAATGGAGGGAGTGGCATGTTCCTCCTATCCTGCAAAATATTTCAGCTCCTCTGGAGAGCTAGCAAATGAGGGCTAGCAAATACCAAAATGTGATATGATAACACATTCGACATTTGGTGTGGAAATAGATAATAGGTAGTAGATAAGTAGCTTGTGGTTTTTCAAAAGGTAAACGTTTGAAAAAAATACCGTAGGTGCTTTTATAACTTATATTTTAATAATCTCCAAAATTTCTATTGTTTGTATGTGATTATGGCTGCCTTTATAA